TTTGGACAGTCCTTTGCATAATGTCCTCGTCCCCTACACTTGTAGCAAACAATCTCACGTGAACGTAATTCAACGGGAGTTGATTTGTTACCTTTAGGGCCTGATCCCGAAGATGTTGCTATGCCTTTCCCTTTGTCATGGGTATTTTCCTCGGATTGGGTTGATTTGGTTGTTGGAACAGTCCCGGACTTGTTCTCACCGCGTGTATACGATTGGTTCGAAGAGGTTGTTCTTGCTCGATTAAAACGAGCTTGCTTCTTGGCGATTTGCTGCTCGATTTGGATTGAGATATGGATAAGTTCCTGCAAATCATGGTAAGTTAAACGTTCTACCTTTCGAGCAATTCGCTCCTGCAATCCATCCACAAATTGTGCCATAATCGCTTCTTCGCTTTCATCTAACTCCAATCGGTTTCGTAGGTGCTCGAACTCCTCATAGTACTCTTTAACGGTTCTAGTTCCCTGCACCAAGTTACGATATTTGCGTTGCAAGTCACGATGAAAATGGGGAGGTACATACCTCTTACGCATCATGAACTTCATCTCTCTCCATGTTGTGACAGGTTCGTATTGTGCTCTACGCCTCTCGGCTATTTCTCGATCCCACCATGCTAAGGCGTTGTCAGTGAGTTGTGCCGCTGCGTATCTAACCTTTCTCTGATCCGAATACTCATAACATTCGAAAATATTGTCCATCCGCCTCTCCCAATCGAGATAGGCATCCGGATTAATTCTACCCGCGAATGTAGGCATTGAAAGTTTTGGATCATTACCTCGTTGGACTTGTGGTGCTTGCACGTAGTCCTCTTCCTCATCCGAATCAATCTGATGTCGATGAGCACGAGCTGCCCTACGCCTTGGAGGAAGGTTTTGTGGTGCATCACCTCGATCCCTTTGCGGTTCTTCTTCTTGTCTTTGAAAGTTAAATCGAATTGGTTCGGGACGACGCGGAATCTGTTCTAAACGTGTTAAACGTTCTTGGATTTGTTGCAATGCTTGAAGGATGGTTTGGTTGCTACTTTCTCCATCTCCCGACATGACTCTTTTTGGCTCTTCTCTTCGCCGAAGCAGATTCTTTTTGGTGTTTTCGGTTTTGTCTTTTTTTCTTCAAAACAAAAGCATAAAAATAAAACAAAATACGAAATCAAATATGCAGAAGTGAACCCTTACCTCGTTGGTCCTTGAACCGGGCTCTGATACCAAAAATGATACGCACCTCGGTCACTTAGGGGTTTCTCGGTGAACTATAGGAACGAAAGAAGGACTTTGTTTTGGAATTTTCGTGGGATAATGACTCTAACCTGAGGTTCTGGTCCTAAGACACTCACTCTAAGGTTTAGGGTCAAAAATTACAGAGGAAAACAGAAGAGAACGGATAGATTTCTCGGACACACCAAGAATGGGGCTCGGACACACCAAGCAGATTGTTTCTCGGACAAACCAAGATCAATGGACGAAATTACTCAAAGTTTTATTCGAAATCTGCTCCTAAACAAAGGAGAACGTCTCTTCTTATAGGGAGAAGAGGAATTATTACAAAATGGAAAGAAACTTCTGCAATAACAAAGAAATGGAAAGATTGAAAAAAATGGAAATACTATCTAACAAGGAAAAGGAAGGTGCAGCCTTGTGTCTTACTGAGTCACCAACGGTCAAGAGATGTTTTTGGCAAGAGAATTATCTGAACTTCCATGTCATAGGCTAGCTCAAGATCTTCCCTTAAAGGTGGTTGATGATTAGGCTCGAATTTGGCTTCTTTCCTTCTTTGTAGATCTGATTTTGATGAGGTGGCCTTGAGGTGGATATTTTCCTATTTTCAAAGCCTCTAATTGGTATGGAGACTTGTCTTGATAGGATGATGGCTGCTCTTCAATTCGGCAAGTCTCCAAGGATGAACTTAGCTTCCATTCTCGGCCAAGGCAAGGCCGAGAAGTAACCATGTCTTCTTGCTTGTTCCATCCATCTTGTAGGTTGTTTGCTCAATCCATTGTGCCATGAGAGTCCTCACTTTGGCCTGCCATGCTCGTGCCTTAGACCGTGTGAGGGGTGGTTCCGGCATAGGTGGAAAGTTGGCCTCGGTGTTGTTGGTTTCTTCTTCCGAGCTCGGCTCCTCCTCCATGCACTCCTTGCTCTCATCCGATCCATTGTGCTCATCCGTGTCCATGGTTAGGTCGATGACCTCATCATCGCCCATATCCATAAGGATCATGACACGGTTGTTTAGGCAGTCCCTTGCATAATGCCTTCGTGAATGCAATTCAACGAGAGTTGATTTGTTACCTTTAGGACCTAAACCCGAAGATGTGTTGATGCTCTTCCCTTTGTCATGAGCGTTGTTTCGAATTTGGTTGTCATGGCAGCTCCGGGTTTGCTCTCTCTATTGTGATCATCACTAGCAACATGGACGACATGAAAAATGACATGGAAGTCCAGTGATACTTCACAACAATTCAAAAACTTCATGCCCTATATGTTGAGATGTGAAGCTTTTGGCCCAAACATGAAGATTTTTAAGTTGGATCAACCCATTATCAAGTTAGGCCCACCATAAGCCTAATTATGGCCCATGAAAGTGAATTATGAAGGTCAAAATAACGAGGTCAAAGACAATTACGAAATAAATTTTTAAAAGGCATTTAAAGCTCCTTCTTGAAAACCACATTTATGAACACTCTCTTGAAGACCACACCTATCAAAAATTTTATTTTGTATTTTATTTATATTATTTTGCTAATTTTCATGTTTTTTTATCCTATAAATAGGATATACAAATCATATTGTAATAATCAATCAATCATTCATCAATCAAAACTTGTAAGAAGTATTCTCTTAGATGAGGACATGGGAAGCAACACCATTGGAGCTGAATTGGAAGCTTGCTTTGGAATGGACAAAGTGGGAGAATTCACCAAGCCAATTGGACCGATGACGAGAGCACGAGCTAAGAAGTTACAAGCTGTGCCAAATTGCCTTATTCTTGAATGTTTGCGTCAAGAATACATGGAAAAGTGCATGGGCTTGGATCAACCACAAGTTCAGCCCATTATCCACTTGATTTCATTTTTGGAAGGCCCATAAATCAAGCCCAAAAGTCAAGCCCAAGAGGGAGGACGAAAATTGGCATTAAATCTGGTCAAAGTGACTTTCCAACTTCATTCTTGAAGACCACAAAGTCAATAATGACTTTCTTGAAGACTACACATCCAAACCTCTTTGTTTGTGTTCACTTATGTTTATTTTACTAAGTTTTATGTATTGTTCTCTATAAATAGAGATCAAAAATCAGATTTGTACAATAACTTTGAAATATATTTTGAGAGGTTTCTCTTAGAGTTCTTTTAGAACTAATTT